AAAAAAAAAGAAAGAAAAAAACAGTAGATCTGTTACTTTTTATTTTCCAAAAAAAAGAAAGAAAAAGATTTGAGCTCTGCTCACAACCACTAGAATATGGAAATAACTTTTACTGTACCTTCTGATCACATTGCAAAAAAGTAATGTTCTTCGTCAGTATTTCTGTCTTGTTTTCCAGTGCAAATGTCTGAAGATTAAATCAAAATGTGTAAATGCATTTACAAAGGATAAGGTAAGAAATTGATCAAATTAATTTATGATTAAAACAAGAACAAATATCTGCCAGTGGGCTCAGTGGGCTCAAAACAACTTAATTCAAAGGACCAACACGTTTTCATATCCCACTTTATTCATAAACTCCAATTTCTGAGTCCAATTTCTCAGAAAACAAGCTTGTAGCTCAAGTAAATCTTGATTGTATTGGAGAACAAAACAAAAATACTGAAGATATACATTTTTTTTGCATTACATGCAACATGTATTGCCATGACTTTATGAATTTAAGACCTTTTAGACCTTTACACCTTAATTTGTGAAGGGCTAATTAAATTCATTTTAAGACCCACAGAAACCCTGACTATCAAACCCCAAAGCTCATAGTCTGACATAATTCAAGTTTTAAAGTTTATGATTTAATGTAAATGGACTATGTTCACTCAATTAATTATTTATTTATTCATTTTTACAGCAAACAAAAAGTGGTCTATACTTACAGGATCCTCCAAACCCACACCGGATACTTCACTCTACAGGTAAGATACACTAAAATAAGTATTCTGTGCTGGATACCTTTGGCAACTTTGATTCACTGCAATAATCTTACCGGTTTACATTGGTTTGCTAACAAATATGAAATTCATTATAATGTCACAACACAATTTGTTCCAGGCCAGCTCAGGTGTAGAGGAGAAGTTTTTCAAGACGTTGAAGGATCTTATTCGCCATTACAAGCAAAAGAATGAAGGACTTGCAACACACTTATGCCGTTCGCTGAAAAGAAAAACGCTGCAAGATCAGCCTTTGCAATGTGCAGAACCACTAGTGCCTAATGAGGAAAATGACTATGAAAGTGAGTGTCGACTTACAATATAAGAGATTAGCAATCATGAGACATTACCAATGTCATTACAGTGACAAAACAATATCAGATAATTACAATGAACAGGAATCAGCTTTGCAGATTTTAGTGCTTCTCCTTGAAGGAGAATCAAAACTGCTCCTTTAACTAAATTAACTGTGAACACTTTTGTTTTTGTCTCTCACAGATGTTGAGTGCTCGGGGGACTATGTTGTTGTTCTGCCAGACTGATATAGTCACAATGTGACGTTCTGACTGGATAACTGGATCAGACAATATAGATGTGCTATTACAGTTTCCAAGAACTTTCTGGACATTTTCACTTCAAATATAGGAAATGCATGTGGAATCACATTTTAGCATAGGTATGTTTTTGTGCATGGAAATGCATACATTGGGGATGTAAATTTGAATGCTGTAAATGGTGTGAATTTTATGGAAGCCTGTTTCTGCTACGGAATAACTTTTTATCTCACAATTTGGATGTTGTTTCTCACAATGAGGGGGAAACAAAAGTCAGAATTGCAAGATATAAACACAAAATTGCAAGATATAAGCTCAGAATTCTGAAAAAAATGTCATTGTGAGAAATAAACTCAGAATTCCAAGTTTATATCTAACATTTTTGAGTTAATATCTCGCAATTCTGAGTTTGTATCATGCAATTCTGAAGAAATGAGAACTGCAAGAAAAAAAAAAGTCAGAATTGTGAGATGTAAACTTAGAATTGCAAGGAAAGAAGTCAGAATTGAAGTC